CTTATCATAAAGTTTCCGTCATAAATACCTTGTTCTTTAATAATGTCTTAGATTAATAAGCATTTATCCTTCCATAAGCATTCTTTGTTAAATACTTAATCTAAAATCAACAGCTAAATCTAACTTTAACTAAGCGATTAAACCACTATTAGTTAGAGTTGAGAGCAACTTTACCTTGGTGAGCTTGAGAGTTTCAAAACTAATCAAAAACCTAGGATTATATGAGAAAATTGAATTTCTTTGAATCCATAAGTTCATAAAATTAAAACCATGAGTTTAGATGTTTGGAATGAGAAAACCTTACCTTTAAAAGTCCTTATATTCAATAAGGATGAGAGTACAAAGAAAAAAGAGAAGAGGGTGGTTAGGTTTTGTTGAAAAACATGTTTTTAGCCAAATGGGGAAAAGTCTAAGGTTTAAGGCTCTTAAATGAGTGTGAAAAGTTTGAAATACCGTTATTTTTTCCAAATCTACGACTAATCTATTGATAGAATTTGCTCTGTGTTGAATGTATTAATACATTTTCATCATATATTGATAGATGTTCATTAGAAGCCTTTTCTAGGCTTCATCTATCAATACATGATGAGCATGTATTGATAGATTTTGTCCAGAATGCATTTTGAAAGTTTAAAATACCTTTTTTTTTACCCTTTAATGGTCCAAACTTTCAAATGAACATATTTGGTTATTAAAACATACACATTCTAAGTTATAATGGTCTATAAATCATGTTCAAAAACTTCAAATTAAGAGCTCACCAAGTTAAGTTATAAATCTGACCTTAAGTAAAAAGTGAGGTTTAACGTTAATTATGATATGTTAGCATACCACATTATCATCTATTATAATATGTTAACATACCGCTTTAATGTCACGTTACATAAAAATTTTGACTGAGTCAATCATTAGTTATAAGAACTTAGATAACTCAAAATAAAAGTATAAGAGATTATTTGGCTCAAAACAAAAGTATAAGAATTTGATTGAATGTAATAAAAATATAAGGACTTATTTAAATTTTTTTAAATAATTTTAAAATTTGTTTAAAATTTTATACCAATTAAATTTACTCATTAATTTAATGTTGTTAAAAATAAGATGTTTCATACAATATTTATGTTAAGCCATTAATCAGTTTGACTTGAAAGGCTTACCATTTCAAGCCTCTAAGGCTTTTGGTTGTACTTTAAGTTATAGGGCTTTACTCTTTTGAATAATCAAGATTGTGGGGACATTGACAGTCATTGAAAGCTAATGCTATAAAGATTTAATGGTTGATGGTGGAGAACTTCACCTACCCACTTTAGTTTGTTTTATAGTCATAGTTGGAATAGTGACCAATTTTGTCTTTTTATTCAATATACAATGGTTTTATTTCTATATACATCTAGAGAATATATCAAATCCATCTTACATGTAATAGTAAGGTAGGAATACCAACTAAATCCATTAGTATGAAGTAGATGATTCTTTTGACCACCTTTCTGAAAATTACAAGCTTTGATCAATTAGATTATCATTTTTCAAAGCAGCAACGTCATGATAAAAAAAAATTATTTGATATGTGAGATAGAAAAAAAATTTTCTGGTACTTAAAGAAGAATGAAATTTTATATTTACTCTTACTTGGTGTAAATATCAAAAATATTTATTTAATGGATAATTATTCTTTTGTGTACACATGAAGATTTATAAATGTTTTGAATTATACAAAAAGTACTCATCTTACCTCATAAATTTAATAATTAGTATTCTGTAGACTGCAATGGAGGTTTTTAAACTTCATAAACAAGAGTTATATATTTATTTAATATTAATTAATTTATTAAACTTTTAAATTATTTTTTATTTGATACATATTAATTTTTTAACTTCACTTGTAAAATTTAAAAACTACCCTATCAATTTAATATCTCTAATTTAAGATTTAAACATAAGACCTTCAATTGAAAGTCTTTAAAATGTTTTAACTGTTAAGAAAAGTTTTCTTAAACGTATTTCATTTTATCAATAAAAAAAAAGTTAATCATAACTCATGGTAAAAATTGTTAGGCAAGGTTTTTTTTTTAATTTTCTTTAATATCTTTACCTATTTGATTTATATATTTAATTTTGGGATTTCAGTTAGAATAAAGTTTGTGGCAATCTTTTGTATACTATTTTTCCTCACTGTATTTCGAAATTTGATTTTCATCACCTCAATCCCTCGAAACTAAACAATTTTAGAAATGGAAATGGCCTAGAAGAGGTTGGGACACGATTTATAAATTTCATATTCAAGAGAAATCAGGGAAAGAAAAAAAAATGATGCATGGGCACTTGGATTCTCTTTGGTGTAAGAATCCAATATACCTAAAATATATACAGACACATGACACAGGTAGAAAAGCATGCATACATATATTATATATATTGAGGTACATTTTCGTATTAATAGACGTGGCAAACGGGTAAGCTCGATTTCGATCGTTTAAGAGGTTCAAGTCATCTTGGGTTGTTTCGAATTCAAGTTAGTTGCTAATCATTTTAGATTTTATATAAGATGTAATTTTTGGGTTTGAATTGTTTCAAATTTGAAACTTTGTTTGGAATCAAGTAGGGGGGAACAAAAGTCAATTAAAATGGAATTAATCCACGAAAATGGGTTAATTCCCTTTAGTTAAGTCGGTTAAAATGGATGATTCGGTTAAGAATCTCAATTAAATTAGTTAAATTAGATCAGTTTGATTTAAAAAATTTGAAATTGAGTAACCAAATTCACCATGTTTATATTTTTTTTATATCAATAGCCTATAAGGTGTTTTCTTGCATGTAAATATAACAATTGAACACAAAAAATAAATTATATAAAAAAAATAAAATAAGATATAACAAAAAAATTGTTATTTTGATATAAGTGGATCCCTCCTCTTTCGTTTAGGCATATATGATTTTGGGTTGCTTTAATTTCATCTCATGACTCAAGAGACAAAATATATGATTTTAGATTACACAATATATAGGAGGTAATCCTCCCTCATCTCATAAATCTTGTGGCCTCCCATTTTTACCATTCCAATATAAGACCTCCAAGTTATAGTGTTAAATTCTCAAAGATATACCTGTTTTTGAACGGAACGTAGACGTAAATTTTTTATATCATTTAATGAAACCAACTAAATTAATTTTTGTATTGGATTGAAAGCTAGAAGATGTACCAAAGAGTCCTTGATACAGATTTACCTGTTCCTGAGCTCTTGGTCAGAAATTGGCCATCACTTAAATGCCAGTGCCAATTTTCCTCAACGAGAGCAGTATGGGTTTCAATCAAATAATGACAGGGAATATTAAATTTTGAAAGATCCTTCTTTGTCTTGGCTCTTTGAAGCTTTTTAAAAGGGCTATTGTGAACATTTGTTGAGTGGCCTTCAATTTTTAGGATTGTCCTTAAGTCCTTGACCTGGGGCTGAGGTATATATGCCCTCTGGGCTTTGACTAAATGCTTGGGGTCCCCTCCCAGCAGGCTATGGCTCAGCATTAGTCTTGCGTTTTGTTTTTATGTTTTGTTTTCAATTAGCAGCCATAATTACAGCATGCTACGCAATTAATCTTTCCCTGTCCTGCGTGATTGCTTTCATCTGCTTTCCCACTTAAGTCCACCTGATATTTTAGTTAGCACCCATCCATGCAACTTAAGGTGCTAGTATTAAAATTGGCCATTTCGCACCATACGGTATGGATTTTCTAAGTCGTGGTTGACTCTTGAATGTGAACGCCAGAAAATTACTCTTTTGTTTTGTTGCAAATTCACCACAACTTTAACTTCGATTGATCTACTTGACATTTTGCTTTCCATGTAATGAGTGGTAGTGTCAATACATCTACACACGCCAAATTTCCCTCTCAGAGCAAAGACCAAATGCCATCATCTTAAATGATGACAGCAAAACAAGACCTAATGCTTTGGTGTATTCTGATTTGTCTTTTAATTTTAATTTGCAATTTTGTATAGTTAAGCTGAATCTAGCTGAAGAATTCCATTACTTGTCTCTCTTCAGTCTTTCCATTTGGTCCAATGAGCTGTCTTCCTATTGGAGTTAATTTTATTTGACAGCTAGCAGTTCTACTCCGACAGGTCATAAGTGTCGTTGGGTTATTTGATTATTGTAGTATAATATTTAAAAAAATTATTAAATTATTTTTAAAAAATTTAAATGAGTGTTTATTCTTTTATTCTGTTTAATCAAATTCATATACTTTTATTTTAAATCAAATAAGCTCTTATAATTAATAATTGACTAATGATCATTAGTCGATACTTAATTAAAAATATCACTTATTATTTTATACTCACATAAAGTTCACATAACGTTAATGTGATGATTATGTAGATAGTGATTTATCACATATTTGTGTCATTATCTCATATTGGCATATCACATTAACTGTTATGACATGTCATCATATCACGTATAACTAACAATTGACTAATGATAATTAGTCGACAATTAATAAAAATGTCACTTATTATTTTATATCTACATAAAATTAACATAATATTGATGTGATGTTGATGTACAGAGTGATTTGTCACATGTTTATGTCATCATCCCATATCAACATGTTACATTATCTGTTATAACATGTCAGCATATCACGTCAACACTACTTGATGTAAAATAACAAGTGATATTTTAACCAACAATAGTTAGTCAACCAATAATGATAAGAGTTTATTTGACTCAAAATAAAAGTATAACATTTGATCGAACATAATAAAATGCTAAGAGTTTATTTGAATTAATTTTTATAAATAGTTTAGGGTTCTTTTAAGTTTTATGTAATTAGTCAATCATTAATTATAAAAGTATATTTGATTTGAAACAAATAAAGACAAAACTTATATATAATAGGACATGAACAAAGACATATGAGTATCTCCCTTTCTTTTCCATACAATATCATATCAATCACGTATACCAATTTTTATTAAATGAGTACTCAGATATTTGATTGACGTCACCATGGCAATAAAATGTAAGTATAACAAATAAGAGCATGAACTGACTTTTGTTAAAAGTTTGAGAAGATTATAGTATATTTGATTAACATAAAAAAAAAAAAACCACTATGCACAAAGGGGCACAGGCACAGTATTTGTAGAAGCTAAACTGACATGAATCAGAGAGCAACTGGATAGCGTCACCTGCCCAGTTACAGATGTTGTATGGTCATTTGCTTGGAGAAAATCTATGGTGTGGTTCAATCTACAATGAAATGATTAAATAAAGATGAGATGAATATTTTATATTATCCACCATTCTTCTAAAAGGCCTAATTAACTGAACTAAGTTTGGAAAACCTACTAAATAGTCAACATCACTAGAAGAGCCCCACGAACTGCTGGATTGAATTTGATTCAGATTGCAGGGCTGTGTTGTGAAGAGGGCCAGGTGTGATGGTGACCCATGCCCATATCAGCTTCTGGCTTCAGCAACATGTCATACATCTCAGGGACTAGTGGCTCGGCAGCATTATTTGACAAATCGTTCTGGTTTTCATCCCCGGTTACTTCCAGCCCAAGTTCATTTTCCAAGTCATGCAACCACTTCTTGTTTACAGCTTCTTTGATGTATCCTTCTCCAAAGTTGGAGCTCTGATTGCCCTCCATCTCATGTAAATGAATCCCATCAGACTGGAATGACCCTAAGTTATCCAGCATATCCCAAAAATCCAAATCAGACTCCAATGGGATATCGAAGGCGGTATCCAAGATCTCTGGCTTATTCACTTCCTCTGATGCGTTATTGGCATCAAAAAGTCCTACGCAGTAGAACAGGGAACCTGCTTGATTTTCTGGATTTGAAACATCAATCTGACTGGAATTGGTGATGTTGGAGTTGTTGGACGAGATTGAAGAACTTGACAATTCTTTTGGCTCCTCGGATGGGCTGCTGTGGTTTGACGGCTCTGTTTTGAAGTCTTGTGCTGTGTCTGATACTGACATAGCAAATGCCTCTCTGGGCTTTTTGTTCACAGATCCTTCATCCCATTGATGCTCAATGTCAATCTCTAAATTTCTCTTGCCACTTGATGATGACACAAACGTAATAGAGGAGCATGATGATGATGAGGTCATGGAGGACTCCTTGGATTCATCTGTCTGCTGAATATTCCCATTCTTTGAAGCCAATCTCCTTTTTAAATGAGTGTTCCACACGTTCTTTATTTCATTGTCTGTCCTTCCTGGTAAATGTGATGCAATTTTGGACCACCTGGAAATTAATTTAATTGTAACATAAGGAATTAAGATAACTTGACAAGAAAAAAAGGAAGGGTACTTCCTAACTGAAAAAATGCCAAATTAAGTCAGATTAATGCATATTTCTAATTGAAACTCACTTGTTTCCCAAACCCTCATGCAACCTTATAATAGTATCCTCTTCCTCTCTGGTGAAGTTCCCTCGCT